CCGAGCTGTCAGCACAGAGCCCGACATGGGGCTCGAACTCATGACCGGTGAGATCGTGCCCTGAGCCGAAGTCGGAGGCTTAACTGACTGAACCACCCAGGTGCCCCAGTACTGCGTTTTAAAATTTTATTTTGAAGCACATATTAGGCAGGTGGAACAGCATGGGCAAAGGTGTAGCAGTAGCAAATAATAATAATAATAATAATAATAATAATAATAATAATGGATAAAATCATGGCGCATTTAGGGAATAGTGAGTGGTTTTGTGTAGCTAGAGGTAAGTCTGTCAAACCGCCTAATGTCAGATACTTTGATGGTCTAGTTTGAGTTAGAGAAACTTGAGTGGTTGTTGAGCAGTATAAGTTTACAAAATGAATGTGTTTTACATTATACTCTATAGGGCCAAGGCAATGAGAGTAGGAGACAAAATACTGCATGGAATAAAACTGTCATTCTCACCATGACTCATCTGTTAACTCATGAAAACACACGACGAAATGCAAGCAAATTGCTCATTTCACATGCTTATGGGTAGATTGAACCTAATTTTGTAGCATTAAAACCAATTTCCCACCGAGAAAACATGTCACAGAGGATAGCATGAGCCTTTATCATCATTAATAATATTTGATATTTCAGCGTCACCTTTCATCTTGAGATCAGGCCTGTACACATGAGAATAGATAAGCTCCAAGGAAACAGAGATAATATTAATACAGTAAGTCACATGCGTTTCTATCTTCCATATTGCAAGGGCTTTTCAGCTGTGTGTTTGTCTCACATTTAGAAGTTAGTAGCTATAGTTGCAAGGCAGTAATGTTTTGTTAACTCCTTCTACAAGAAGTCTCAGGGTAGATAGAGTAAGGGCCACATCCTTCCATGCGCAGCTCTCCTTGGAAGATCAGCCTTCGACGCATCCATTCTCCATTCTTTGGCTTGTTTGCCTGGTCATCTCCATTCTGAGTGGAGGGCACACCAACAGGGAGTTGTGTCTTCATGGATTCTTCAGCTTCTTCAAAAGAGTAGCAAGGCATAGTGATCATGATCGTATCATCATCACAACAATAACTACTACTACTGTTTCTTTTTTTTTTTTTTTTTTTTTTTTTTTAAATTTTTTTTTTCAACGTTTATTTATTTTTGGGACAGAGAGAGACAGAGCATGAACGGGGGAGGGGCAGAGAGAGAGGGAGACACAGAATCGGAAACAGGCTCCAGGCTCTGAGCCATCAGCCCAGAGCCTGACGCGGGGCTCAAACTCACGGACCGCGAGATCGTGACCTGGCTGAAGTCGGACGCTTAACCGACTGCGCCACCCAGGCGCCCCTACTACTACTGTTTCTTATGCAGCACCCATTCCACGTGTGCATCATTCTATAATTCTAAGAACTTTACGTATACATCACATTAACTAATTTCACACCAACTGCCCGACAGAACTTTCTGTGATGGTGACGTTCCGTATCTGGGCTGTCCAATATGGTAGCCGCTAGCCACATGCAGCCACTGAGCACTTGAAATGTAGCTAGTGCTACCAAGAAACCCCATTTTTCTTTCATGTAATTTGAATTATCTTTTCTTGAAATAGTCATGTGGCTAGTAACTATTGTCTTGGACAACAGACTTCTAGTGGCTGGCGGTTTATTTTTGAAAGAAAATAAAGCTCTGGTTTCATCATCGGTAAGAACTTAACGAGGACTAGTTTGACTGAATGGTTCCAATACATTCTTGAAGCTATAAATATTTTTAAAGAAGTCCCATGTTTTACATTTGGAGAATTTTTTTTTCCATCCTTACCCCACCCTGTTAAAATTTTATTTAAAACATATCTGTGGAACATTAGGGCAACATAGAATCATTTCTAAACAACACTCACAAAAGATGCGGGGGGGGGGGTGGCTGTCCTCAAATGAAACCTCATTGTCATCCAATCATCCCATGTGGTCAGCAATGATGGATACTAGTCTATCCATTGAGAATTGGAATTCTAATTACTGACTTCCCAAAGGGAGATATTCACCTCCACTTATAAAGTGGAATGAGGAAAGAGGGTTTTATGTTTTGGGTGTCCATGGAGAAACACAGTCTTGATTCATTTTGGGCCCTCCTCTTACTAAAACCACCTCCCTGGGATTTCTCTGGTTTGTGTGTGAAAATATGAGAATAAACTTAACGTGAAGAAATTGATTAGAAGACTTAATTACATTTCCGCGTAGTCAGCCCAGTAACTTGGACTGTTACCACTGTTAGAGAAAGAGAACTAAGTAGCCCTTGGTTTGAACCATCTGTCGCGAAAATGTGACATATGCTTGCTTTGTTTACTCAACAACCAAGTGTAAGCTGATACACTGAACAAGAAATCCGTGTATGGTATGACCGTGTGTGTGTGTGTGTGTGTGTGTGTGTGAAAGAGAGAGAAAGAGAGAGACAGAGAGAGCTCATGTGTTGAGCGTCAGTCCTTTC